TGCGATTGGAGAGATTTAAAAAGATTTTATAGTAAAAACTTTAAGCATAGAACTTTTTTATAGTTTCGCCAAACTTTTTAGTGGAACACGTATTTATTCATCCATTAAATCCTATCAAAAGTCCACTGCTGAACCTTCCGTCCACTGAGTCCTTGGTGGGTTGGGTTGGTAATCGCAATTTTTAATTTTTTTAACTTATTATCAGGAAGATGCTGCTGCCATCTCCTGTTTCATTTCCCTCTGCCGCTTCTAACAACACCCACGGCATGATATGGGGTAGTGAATTCTTTTACAACGCTACACTGCATGGCACATATTTGTATATTCGTTGTATTCAGTAAAGTCCTTGGGTATAAATAACACAGGTCTTTGACCGGGTCAATACTATCGTGTCCATTTAATTGCCCATTCATTTGTGTAACTAGTTTGTTATGGATACATTATCATTAACATTATTTATTTTACTATTTTTACTGGTTCGCCCTGGGCTTCGGTCTAGTTTCGAAGTTCTCGCCCTCTTCAGGGGGGAGCGCATTGTTTGGTATGGCACTCACCCCACACGGCGTTGGCCTGTGTGGAACCTTGAGCCTCCCCTCAATTTTCTAAAAAGAGCAAAGCCCTTGTATCAGGTATTTTAAATAAATAATGTAAGCCTTTTCCAAACGGAAAGAAGTTCATTAATAAGAAATTGATTGACTGATACACATGGAACAGGGATGAATTAATGTTATTTTATGTCTTCTGAGCTATAGTCGAGAAAAGGGTCCTTTAATCAAAATAATTTAAGCGATACCAATGGCTTTTGATTGCTCTAGTTAATATTCATTCTTCTAAGAGACATCTAATGAAACTAAGTTACCAAACACACAATGTAATAAAGGATAAAAAGCATAAAATAATTATAATAAACGGCTTTTAACTAACCTTTGGAAAGATCAATATTCATAAGCCTGGTCATGTAAATTTATATATTTAAAATTTTGATACATCAGCTGACGACATTTATAGGGGGGAGAAAACTGTGATAATATAAGAAAAAAGCTTATCTATCTTTTTGGAGAGGATAGATTATCAATCATTGGTGGTCACCAAACACCATCTACAGCATTTACATCATTTGTTGGCATTAGTTTAAATTATCAGCTTCATACACTAGGATAACTGCAGTATTTTTTTTTAAACTTCATCTCCACACTAGGACTTTCTCCTGTATCACGGGAGCAGTTCAAATAAAATTCTACAAGGACAAACATGCAGACCCAGAACAATTATTTGTATGAGATACAAATATTAATTAGGTGCAGTACAATCATTCGAACATTTGGGAGCGCTTTTAATCTGTACGTAACTTTGTGAATACAACTTTAGACAATGCATTTAAGGTTGAATTTACGTTAATGTAAATTTATTTCAACTAGAATTACTTCAAAACAATTGGCGTCCGTTTATAGAGAACTTGTGCATGGGATTGTGTGTATAGTTTTTATTACCGATATTACATACGGAATTAGAAACCGCGGCCCTTAACACAGTAACTCATTGCTAAGCCCCTGAACCACGGAGCTTTCCCTTTCCTTTATAGGAAAACTTTAGACGAAGGATAAGAAACACGTCTAGACTGTGATACCTGTACTTAGAAGCCTAAAAATCATATTGATGATCGTTTGCAAAAAATCACAAATCACAAGATGGTAACCCTTCGTTAGGGTCTTGACAGACAGACAGACGGACAACAAAGTGATCCAATAAGGGTTCCGTTTTTTCCTTTTGAGGTACGGAACCCTAAAAATGGTAACATTATGTCTTTTAGCTATTAAAAACAAAACATATACTTACCAAGTAGTAGTGTTGTAAGCATATACCCCATATCATTCCGTGGGTGTTGCAAGAAGCGATCAGAGGGAAACAACTCAGATGGGCAACAGTGTCTTCCTATAAAGACTTCAAATAAAAAACTGCCTTTGCCAACTCGCTTGCCAAGTGTGGCATATATGGAAAACATCCCCCTTATGAGGCAATCTATGGGGAAGGCCATGTTCCACAGTGGATCTTAATAGGCTGTCAAGGTAACATATACTTAAATCAACCAAATTGGCAATCCCTAGCATAACATCACTTTAATTTAAAGATTTAGATTAGGGCACTTTTTACTAATGTACCAGTAAGATTAGTAAAAATGAAAACATTTCTCAGCATATTTATCAGTGTCAAAAGTCTCTAGCATTCCAATTCAAACATGAGAGATTTAGCTTCTGTTGCTACACTTGGCAATTTGTAAATTATATTATGTTATTGGCTCTGGTTCTTCAACAATCTGCTAAAGAGGTTCATTGTCCCAAGGATTACTAACAAAATGAAAATGTATACTCCATAACTTTAACAACTTTCTGAATCTGGTTATAGATGCTTTTGCTACTAAAGTAGAAGAATGTCAAGCCACATTTGACTTGTAAAAAATAGGAAATTGTTGTCGTATCTATATACAACTCAAGTTAAAAATTAAGCTAAAAGTTTCATACATACTAAAACATGTCAGGTTATTTTGACTCGGCACACACCCATGACGCTAGGTTAAGTAAACACACAACAAATCTTACTTATGTCTAAGTAAGATTTGTTGTGAGTGTAATACTGAAAAGCTAAATTTGCCTAAACTAGCTAGTATGCCCATCAGAGAAATATAAAAGGTTACAATCTTTTGGAGACCTAAATATACATACACCACCAATGCAATGGAGTAATTTAGGAAGATCAATTTAAAACCTCAAAATTTATTTCAAATCTGCCTTCTATCATAAAATTCACTTTGTGAATTAAACAAGTACAAAGAGTTTTGGGAACAAACTTTGATGAAAAAATAATTGAAATTCCAAAAAGAATTCTAACAATACTCAAGATAACAAGTGAAAACAAACACAAAAGCTAAACAGGTAAATAATGAAAGACAAAACTTTCTAATGAAATTCATTCAAAGTTTTTACCTAATTCAAAGTTAGTTGAATGAGAAGTTAGTACTAATTTAATTTTACTGAAATAGTAAATATGTCTATTTGATATTTTTCCATGTAGTGACGGTATAAGAATATCTGCTACACCATATCATCCCATGGTAGCACCCATGATAATAGGTGACAGAGGGAAACAAATCTGGAGGTAGATATACGATTTGACACTGTCTTCTTAAATAACGACTAAAAATAAAAAACTGCAGTTGTCAACCTGTTAGCCAAGCATCACAATTATTACAAATATCTCCCCTATGAAACAATCTATGGGGAGGCCGGCCTATGTTCAGTAGTGGACTTTAATAGGCTGTAATGGCTATTTGTTACTGAATAGAATTGAACTGGCAACATAATTGGAAGAAACTGGTACAATACCATATAATAATACAATAAAATGCAGTTAGGTAATTAACAGAATAAAAATTATTCTGTTGAGTATTATTCATATTATATAAGTAGATTAAGATTTTCACGTTCCATATTAAAACTTAGGACAATTCCAAGTAAGGTATCATCATATATTTATTTTAATTAATGAATAAATATTTGTTCCTATCACTTCAGAATTATAACCCAATATATAAAAGAAACAATCAATTGTATGGGAGCCACATTGTTTATCATTTTCTGCTATGTTATGCTGCTTTTCCAAAAAGGGATAGCAATTCTCACACAAAATTGATGCACTAAAATGGGATATTACGTTTTAAAATTTTCAAGTTTTGTAATTTTTTCCTTTTTTGTTTTGGTTGTCCCTTTGTCAGTTTGTGTCCAAATGTTGATATTAATTGAATTGATATTAACACTTCAAGCTTTAATAATGATTGTTGTTGCTCTTTTTGAGTCTATTAATTTTTTTTTGTATGATTTTGCTTTATTTCTTATCAACTTCAATTTCTATTAAGGACCCTGTAATTACTCCCCATGACAATACTACCTTGTTACTTGATCGTGTACCCACTCCTAACAACATATCTCTTTGACTTCTTTTATGATGATTCCCAAAAAAGGAAGCAAAATAGCATCAATATTACAATATTTCTGTTATCCAGTATAATATGGTCAGAGTACAGGAGGTAGTGGTGTCCATGTGATTGCTAATCCCTGTTTTTTGGTTTAGCCAAGGTTTTGTCCCTAATCATAAACCAGCCTAGTTCCTATGTGAGAAGATCATCATGTATTTTAAATTAATGTGGATAAAAAAAAAACAGAAATATATTTCTTATATTATAACTTCTAGCATAAAAATAAAATTTTGGATGAGTTAAAAAAATTTAATGTAAAAAATATGTACCTAGGTCTTTGTCTTTCAAGCCGACCCTAGCCCTATTATTAAAATGTTAAAAGATGTAATGATAAAATAAAAATCAATCATATACTTAATATTTTTGAGTTCATGGATTCTTTTTAGCGAAAAAAATATTTTTTGAGGACTAGAAAATTTAATTTGTAACTGATTTTATATTCCAATAATTCATATATATTTAAATCATTGTTTATAACCCAAGTACTGAAAAATAAATACAAATTAGATTAAGTATTCATGTAAAGAAAACTTCTAAACTTAAAATAAGAAATATGTCCTTACTTTTCAATCTGTACATAGTGTTATGGAAAACAATCGGTATTATCCGTAGATTAACCAACTTTCTAATGTAAGTAGGTCATTAGCATCCCAATACCGCGCCGATTAGTACTACCGCGTGCTCGAAACTCTTCCAGCTTTACCGAAATATTGGTAGATTCTAGAAAGTCATGACCCGTACGGTTCTCCGGCCGTGAATTTGTGACGCGTCGGTGGCGTCGGCGAATATGTCGTCATTGTCGTCGCCCGTCAACTAGACCACGGCACACAGCCGCTCCGCCACCATTACGATGACGCTATCACATTTTCACAGATTACAGATATAATAAAACTTTGCAAAGTTAAAGTAAGTGCAAAAGCTAACATATCATTTAAATAGCTTCTTTTAATACAAATATAAATTAGCTTACCGTTTTAAATGCAGAATCCAACAACAAAGAATCACCAGCCACGCGCTCCAGATACAGGGCACTCACAAATCACGAAAGCACAACAGTAAACAGTAAATTATAGTCACAAAAAGATTTGTCTTGTCCACAGTCAATAAACAAAGTCAATTTGAATAAAGTTTCTAGGTTTTTCTCGCAATAAACACTAAACCGGGAAAGCAAACCCTGAATCACCGCCAGCTACGTACAAAATGGCGGATTAGCGTAATGAAAGTGACGCGCTGACGCGCCAACGACGGGCATAGATTAAAAAGCAATTTATAGTCTATGTAAAACATAACCTAGAGTAAAGAACAGTGCTAATACTACTTATTAATTTGAAACGGTTGAAACGCGGTTTTACTTGGATGATATTTAAAAAAGTTTACATTACAATAGATTAGTGGTTTTTGTTATTTAGATTATAATGCAAATAATTTCATTTTAATAGGTTTTCTCTTTCTTTATATTCTAAACTATGCAACGTATCAGAATATGGATTTTACCAGTAGACGCAGCTTGAATTTCTCTATCGATTGGTAACTCATTTTCACAAAATATGTCAGTTAATTGGTTTTAGTTGTAAGGGGGCGTATGCAACAACGCTTTATCTGCTTGGATAAAAATATTTCGAAGTCGTGATATTAACTACTACCTCCTGCCAAATAATATGTATATTATTACTTAAAGACTCTAAGACCCCATACTATCCCATAAAGTATCGTAAGAGACGACATAAGGAAATGAAACAGGAGATATGCAACAGTATCTTCCTAATAATAACTCAAAATAATAAAAAAATGCCTTTGCCAAACCACTTCCTAAGAGCGGGAACTATGGAAAATGTTTTCCCTAAGTTCAGTTGTGAACTTTTGAAAAGCTGGAATTATATAATGAATTAATGATGGATAATATCATGAGAGAGCAGAGAGGAAAACGGGTACTCCGTTCTTAATGAACTTAGTGGTAGTTGTGATCTAGCGACAAAAGAGAAGGCAGACTGCGGTCGTGGCGCTGTTATTGTACTATCGTAACAGTTCCCGATGTGTACGTTATGGGAAGCAAAGCCAGTGTCGATTAAACAAACACAGTTATTATGCCCTGTGAAATCCATAAAAAGTCTAAGGATAATTTGGCAGAAATATACCGGCTGAATTTAAGCAGATTCCATAATGACCTTTTAACGATATATTTTGAATTATACAGCGATAGTACGAAATTCCGCATTATTTGACTACGTTTTTGTTCTAAGATGTCAGATTAAACTTCCATAAACTTTCATTGGTTTAAATAAGTATTACGAACCGTACTAGTAGTAACCGTAGTACTTATAAAAATTCCTAATTTTACTATGTCATAGACTAAATGAATTTATCAAAAACGTTTTTTGTTTCGTTAATGATAATCAATAGAGATGTCTATGGAATGGAAACCAGCAACAACCTTGTAAAAGAAAGAAGGTGAGAATATTATAGCAATCTTATTTTATACTATGTTAAAGGGGACGGTCCATTTCTGGCCCAGTCTATGTACAATATACCGTAAAAAAGAGAAAAATTCAGGGATTTTGTTAAAAATAAAATCAGAAATTAAATCAAACTAAATAACTTGCAAAAAATAAAATTGCAATCCCAAGTTTTTGATGGTTTTACAAGATGGTGCCCTTCCAGTCATAAAAAAGTAAAAAAGGCACGGTTATTTGTAAAATGTCTTTTCTGTCAAATGATATTTTTATTTATTCCGAGCTTGGTTGTGTAATTCTGAACTCGTGAATATGTTTAATTGTGGATTTCTTTGGCGATTTGGTTTTTTGTTTGGACTTGGATCAGTTACTACTTGTTTAACTCTGCTTTTGTTTTATGGAGTTAATGATTTACGTGAGATTTAGATTTCGTTGATATCGGACATCTGTATTCTGTAGAATCACATTTTGAATCAGTAAGCAGGTATGTACTAAAGAAAGATGATTCCTTAAGCTATTAAACGCATTTGAATGACATGCTTCTATCTGTAGTCTGTTAATAATTATTAATTATTACATAAGTTCATAATGGCTGCAAAATCTTAATATGATGTAATTATCTCTCAGTTCACCTGTTAAACCATGTTGCACTGTTTAAAATGCGCTTCTGCAATATAGATAGTTTATTAAAGTAAGATTGTTTTGTTCTAGATGGATGAAAATGCACCAATATGTTCACAATGTTTTGCAAACGTATTACAAGAATTATCTGTCGGTACAAATCATGAAAATGAGTTCTAGCGCCCTAATGCCAATATTATCAGTATATTGTATGTTTGGTGTCAACGAAGACTGGGTAGCAGATAAGTTGTGACCCAATTAATATCATCCCAACAAGACTCTGTTTTAATAAGAGGCCGTATAAAATCTCGCCATCATTCGGACAGAGCTTATTATACATATATACTGTTGGCGAGACAAGGGACAGGTTGGGATGCGATGATTGCAGGTTATTATTGCAGTTGCACTTCTGGACAACAGACAGTGGGATGCTGTGCCCACATAATGACCGTTGTCTGGTATTTGTGTTGGGCTCGGTATCAAAATTCTAGTAGAAGTATGATAAATAAATAAAATATAAAAAAATTAAGCTGTTTTATTTATATTACCTTAAGTATCTAAAACATGATTGACATAATGTTTCACTTTCTATAATTCATAGGACTGTTAACCTTTGTTATGACATTATCCAGGCTTTAAATGTCTGTCAAGGCTCAAGGCATACTCTGACACGCTGAGGATCTGTTATATGAAAATATTTATACGCCGGAAACGTATTTAGTATGCGAATTCTTTTGTAACAACTGTAATGTACCAAATTGTAACAAATAAATTATATTATCTATGATTGTACTCTAGCACTTCAGCAGCCCAGATAGACACATATACCTGAACAGAAATTAGTATTCAGGATTATTCTGTTTATCCACCTAAAAACAGCCACTCTAAAGTAAAATAAATTCAATATATTCTTTATTATTAGTGCAATAAAGTAGTATCTCAGGGTGAATTTTTTGGGGTAGTGAAACGGAGTTACCCGCTATTCACATATAATCTCGGATTTGAGCTATCTGGCACAAATTTTTTGTAAAAACTAACAAAGCACCTAGGTCTCATTTCCCCATGTAAAACAAAAATGTCCTGGATGTCCCTGGCACTGAAGTGTGCATTAGTACACACTAATGAATGCAATGAAATAATTTTGTGCGTGTTTGTGCAATCTTCTTGTCTGGAATTAGGTAGTACTCTTTATATTTGTTTTACAAATATCAACAAGAACGTTAGTTGTTTTAAGATCAAAAAAGCACATACATTGTGTATGTGCTTTTTTGATCTTTATTAACTTCCTTCTGCGTAGCATTGAAAGGAAGTTAATGGTTTTAGCTGGCAGTCTGTTAGTCTGTATGCCGACACCATAACTTCCGTTCCACTGGACCGATTGACTTTAAATTTGGTATGTAGATGCCAAATTTAAAGTCATACCATCATATCATATTAAAGTCAGTACATACCTTGAGGTAGTAGCTCGGTCGAGTTTGAATTTGGATCCTGTAGGTCAAAGCGCACCAGAGATATGGTATTCACGCAGAAGGAAGTTGTTTTTCTTGAATTTACATTCAACTCGTTACACTTTATTCGTGTTTTGATCAAAAAATACAACTTTTTGCCTTACTTTCCTACTAGTTTCGAGACATTTTAGCTATTTTACATAATAAAATCTACCTTTTTTTTTTCCTAGTTTGGCAACTTCCAATGGATTCTGCCAGAGTCAAGTATTTCATGAGAGTCACACAGAATATTTACTAGTTTCCGTTTCCGTAGATGCGCTTACTTAGCTTTATGTTACGAATTTACTTACGTAGTTATTTTCGAATGAATTAACATTATAATATTTTTACAAAATTATTGCTAATATAATAATATGGATATATGTAAGTGGCAAAGGTACTATAGTTTAATGTTATTAATGGATATGAAGTCTAATAAAGTTTGTACAAAAGGAGTGTAAACTAAATTTAACAAAGACTTAAGATTTACAGGACGAGGGATGTTATTAGCAAGAAAATCGTATAATGAAACGGAGAGGTTAGGGCAGTTAAAAAATTTATGATCGATCGTACCTTCGTCTAATCTACACTCACAAATTGAGCTATCTTTAATCTTAAGTTTTGCCAAAAATACAGGTGAACAAGTGTGTCCTAATCTAATTCTACATATGACTGATGTGCTATGTTTGGAGCCATTTCTAAATTTAAAAAACCATGGTTTGGAGGGGATGTCAGGTTGGATTTCTGCATAATATTTACCGATACCGAAAATCTACCTGATAGGCTATAGCTGATATGAGTATATTTCAGAGATGACAGCTAACGTCAAATCAAAACGACATCAATCCACCATTAGTGTTGCAGTTTTTGGTGAGAATAAAATATTAATACCACTGAAATTAAAGCAAATTCATGGATTTGAATGATCAAAAGTGGTTTAATATTTTATTTTATTTCCATACTAGTACATAAACTAGGCCTACGCTCCATACAATTTTGGACCGTCTCCAGCAAGCTATAAAGCGCGCGTATACGGCCCTATTTTTACCGCAGTCATGTCTTACGTGGGCCCTATTTTTGCCCACGCTGACCCTAAAATTATTCATAAACTCCAAGTAGTTCAAAACCTCTTCTGTCGTTGAGCTACGAACGCACCACGTCCGTAATGCCGACCTCCATCGAGACTTAGAGCTCCCTACAATCCAACAATTTTTAAAAACACTCTCTGAGAAATTCTTCAAAGCCTCAGAGTCTCATTCCAATCATTTTATTCCTGAGGCAGCTACTTATACAGCCCCACTCCCCTCTCGCTATCGAATCCGCAGGCCGAGAAACTCTCTCTCGGACCCGTCAAATAAAATTTCAACCGACCTGAACTGCCTCCTGGCGGCTCAGGCCGACTCTTCTTAAATTTGCCCTAGTAAGCTCTCCCTCAACGGCTCGTAGCCGCCTGCAACCTCTTCTCCCAAAAGAGGGTCACTTCCGATCCGGCAAAGAGGCTTAATCAGCCAATTGCCAGTCCCCAAAGAGGAGTTTAGCGGGTATCACTTAGGGTCCCCGTAGGATAGTCACAATGAGTCTCGCATAGCCACGACAGACCGGCTGTCGTGGTGTGCATAAAGTATTCTCCACTTCCTCGCGTAT